TGAGTGGCAGGGATAATGACCTCACAGAGGGCTCCTTTGGCCTAGTCCAGGGCATTCAGCATGGTCGAGATCCCGATGTCAAGACCCTCCCGCTCCATGTTCTCGGAATGATCATCGAGCGAGAAAAGAGCCGACGTCGGGTCCTGAGCGGCCATCCACTGGAGCGGCGGCTCCCCCCGCGCAGGGGAGCGGCTTCCTCCTGACAAAGGGGCCGGTGGCGGCTCCCTCCTAACCCTGTGCGGCACCACCGCCGCACTCAAGGACCCTCCGGCTGGACCCTCCCCCGTCTGGGCCGCTTCGAGCGCCACGAGTGGATCCACCTGGGCCCCTGGTGGCGTGGATTGCACTACGCCCTTAGGCGCCACCACAACCGCGCTCGGCTGATCCTGGCTTGGCGCGGTCATGACCACCTCCACCGGCGGTATGCGGCCCTCGGCCGGCTGTTCCACGACCGCCACGGAGGAGGCCGCTCACTCAGTAACCTCCGCGGGTGTGGAAGCCACCATGGGCGCCGTCGGGTCGGCCAACGCGGCCCCGACGTCGGCAGCACTCCTGCCCGAAACGGGGGTGACTCCAGGCGATGCCGTCTGTCCTGCTTGAAGGGCGAGACTCTTCTTGGGCGCCAGCCCCAGGGGGTGACCCGTACGCAAGAACCTGCACAAAGGTAATAACCATTAAGTCAAAATAAAATTGGAAAAAAAGGATGAAAACAGAGGAATCAACAGCTTACGTTGACGTCCTCGGCCGGCGGAAGTGTTTTGGGGATGGATCCCCAGATCCCTGCCCTAACTCATCTGGGCGGGACCGTTTCATGCCTGCCCCCTGCTCCGGGGCAGGGGGGTTCATCTCATCGGGCGCGGCACCGAGCCATCCCCCTCCGTCATCTCACGGGGTGCAGCACCGGAGCTGCTCCCCTCCATCGTCGCCTCGGGAATGGCGATGGCAGGTCCGCCCTCCCCCATCCACCAGTCCTCGGCCAGCACGCCGTGCGAAGCGGCGGACTCGCCGGCCTCCACTGACCTCATCGATCTACTTCCCTACGCGTGGAAAGGGAAGGGCTCCTACACGGATGTGTGGCCACTCGTCAGCGTGTCCTCGTCCTCCAGGACGTCCCAATCCACGCCGACGGCTACCTCGTCGTCGTCGTCATCATCATCATCATCATCGTCGTCGTCCTCACTGCTCACGTCCTCTCCCTGATCCCATGCCTCCTGCTTCAGTCGTTTCGCCTTCTTCATCTCTTCCCTTGCTTTCTTGTCCCGCTCGGCCGTGAGTCGATTCGCCGCCGCCACGACCTTGTCCTTCGGCAGTGGAACTGGGCTGTCCTTAAAGACCAGCACCCTCGGCTGTCCCAACGTCATAAAGCAAGTGTTAAAAAATGGAGATCTAGGAAAAAAGAAAAGAGCACGGGAGAGGAGAGCTTACGAATTCAAAGAATCCAGGCTCCGGCCGCATTGGGGGGTGTCCGGGCACCGAATACACAATGTCGAGGACCCTGCCTGCAGAATCCTTCATCGGCTCCGTCGCCTCCTTGATGCGCTGCGCCACTTCCGAGTAAGGGAGCGCCTCGTCAACAAGCTCCGTCCCCTCGAGCGATATCCCGGGCATCATCCGATGCAGGGGAAGCACACACGCCATCAGAGGTGCCACCCTCTTAGCGTGGTAGGCACCGATAATCCCTGTCCCCTTTACACCCCGACCCTTCAGGACTTGGAGGGCGGAAAGAAGGTCGGAGATGTGTTTCTTGTCTTTGGACTGGACGCCCCAGCCCCACGACTCCTGAACGTCCACAATAAGATGTCCAGTATACTTCGGTAGGGTGGCACTCGCATCATCCCTAACGTAAAACCACTGCGAGTGCCATCCCTTGTTGGATGTCGCCAGACGCATGTATGGGTAACCCTTTGACCGGGTATGGCGCAGATGAGTGCTGGCACACCCCATCTGCGCGTTCACGTCTTTCCCCCCAATCTTCCTCTTTGACAGACTAATGTTAAAAAAATACCGCCACAGATCAAAATGGGGATCGATCCCCAGGAAACCCTCGCATAGGGCAATAAACGCTGCCATGTCCTGAATCCCATTGGGAGTTAGATGATGCAGCTCTACCTCATAGTAATCCAACAGCCCCCGAAGGAATCTATGCGCGGGTACCCCGAATCCCCGCTCATGGAAGATGGCGAAAGAGACGACATACCCTTCAGGTGGCACCGGCTCACCCTCGTCGCCAGGTAGCAACCACTCCTGGATGGCGGACAGTGGGCGGAGAAGGCCACGGCGGACGAGGCCCTCCAGACGCCGGGAGGTGATGCTTGATCTGCCCCACAACTCCATTAAAGCAGTAGGGGGGAAGGGCAGGCGTGAGCTTGACGGCGGCTGGAACACGAACGCAGGCCGGTCGACGGTGGTGATGCGGGCGTGAGAGGCTAGGACGATTGGCGGAGGATGTTTTAGAACGCAAATGTAGGGGAGCGAAATACGGAACCTTGGGGGCGAACCCCGTGGTTTTATAGGGGGCGACGGACGCGAGAAGGGCAACCGTCCGCCTCGATCTCTGGGCCTGCCATGTGCGCCACCGCGTCACGTCACGGGACACGCACCCGTAGTCCCTATCCTCTCACCCCAAAAATCTCGGCGGACGGATCGCCTTCCCCAGGCGAATCCGGACTCTCTACCCACCTGGGAAACGCAAGCCACAGAGGCCTGTTCTTTTCTCTTTGGCCCACCTAGGGCTCAGAAGCTCTCTGGCCGGCCCAACTAAGAAAGGATCCACGGACGATCTGAAATCAAGGGCAGAAGCACCAGTTAGGTCAGCCCCGAATCAGTTCCCAGCAAACGGGATGCCACGACCCACTCGAAAAAATATCCAGTTGACGAAAAATTAAGTCCTTCAGCCTTACCCGCGAAGGGACCGATATAACCCCCCGGGTGACTCTACTCAAATCACCCGGGGCTCAAGGGCTACACCCCATCCAGGTGCGCTCGCACAGCCCCTCGACAAAAGTAACCTCGATGAAATCAAAAAACACCCTCTAGGCGGTTCTACTCGAATCACCTAGAGGCTCGGGGGCTACTGTCGGGGACCTAATACCGGGGTACCCCAGAAGGTGGAACCAATAACCACCGAACGTTAAAAACTTCTGGACGCATAAGAGCGTTGCTTCACCCCTCACGGGAATGACAGGAGCTTGGTTCCCCCTCGCCTGACGCCTTTGGGGTGGGCTCAGTCTCGCCCGAGGGCCGAGGATTAGTCTCTGTCTCGCCCGACGCCTTTTGGATGTGCTCGATCTCGTCCGAAGGCCGAGGGATAAACCCCGACTCGCCTGACGCCTTTGATGTGGCTCTGCCTCGCCCGAGGGCATAGGGCTAGTCTCCGTCTCGCCCGATGCCTTTAGGGCGGGCTCGGTCTCGCCCGAGGGCTGAGGGATAGACTCCGCCTCGCCCGACCCCGGAGGAGCAGGGTCGGTCTCACCCAGGAGATAGGGATTGGTCTCCGCTTCGCCCGACGGCAAGGAACAAGCCTCACTCTGCTCCATATCTAAAGATTGGATTCATCTTACCTGACCACTTCTCCCTGTTCCTCAAGATGATAGAGACAGGGGCAAGACAAGACGTTCAGTCAACCGTGGCTCCAAGAACCATACCCTGCACCTGGCGGAAAAAATCTGCTAGGGGATGACGGGACGGGCGCTTTAGGCCCTTCCAGGCGCCGTAGAGCCCGAAAGGTGTTACAGGTGCGAGCTCTCCACCCTGTAGAGTTGTAGGCGCCGCCTTCAGCTCTGGGACACGGAACCCGACGAAGATATACGACAACCGCTACGCTCCAGAAAAGGATTTGCTATCTCCATGAACGACGGATATTCCGTCACCACGCTATGGACCCAAGGGAGCGGTGCCCGCTTCCCGACCCCTCAGTCCACCAAGACGAAGACCTTGGCCACGGCGCTACTCCAGCACCCGACCCGCGTCCCTCCGACGAAGACTCATAGGAACCCGTAAGGCGTGCGAGCAAGGCTAGGGGAGGCTCAAAAGTCAAAACCATCAGATCAAGCGCCCATACCTGCAGCAGGTAGCATTCTCAGAACCAACCAACGACATTCTCTGAGACATCGACAGTATTGTAGGCGCTTATCTTCCTTCACACTCATCAGAATGAAGAACCAGGCCGGGTAGACGTGAGCCACAAGACTAAGTAGAGTACGCATCCTAAAGCCCTCACCCTTGTAAAGCCAGCCCCTTCATCTATAAAAGGGGATGCGCTTCCTCCATAAAAAGGGAGGGAGAGAAAAAAGATCGAACAATACGACTCTTAGATACACACAGTCAAGTTATGTCGAACCTCTTGACATCCCTTCAACCCTTCCATCAGAGACTTGGACCAATCCCTCTCTCGATCGTTTGTACCCCTTACTACAAACCGTTCACGGTGCTAATAACACGAGCAGCAACAAACTGGACGTAGGGACTTTCGGCCCGAACCAGTATAAATCTTGTGTCCTTTAGCGCACCATCCGAGCCTAACGCGCATTACTATAAATTTACTTGCCGGTGTTTGTACGAAACACCGACAATTTCCTTCCTGTTTCTTCTTCGTGTGAGCTCGCGATGTCTTCCCCTCGCCCTCACTACGTCAAATATCATTTCCAGGGACGGCTACAGTGCATTTGTAGGGGCGGTTCGGCCAGCCGCCCCTACGCAAGGGTCTCTACAAATCATGCATTTGTAGGGGCGGTTGGTACTGTAGCCGCCCCTACAAATCGATTTATAGGGGCGGTCTGGGAACACCAACCGCCCCTACAAATTGATTTGTAGGGGGCTACAGTACCAACCGCCCCTACAAATCATTTTTTCGAAAAAAAAAATTTAATTTATAATTCAAATTGGACCAGAACATATATTTTTCAATTAGCATTAAAGATAAACAAGATCACTAAATTCGTATAGTAATATTTCAGAGCAAATCAATTGAGACCTATGAACTACAGGAAGTAGTAAAAGATTCATTGTCCAGTTATGTAGAAGTTTACATGAGCTCTCTAGTCAGATGCGATATTATGCATCAAAATGACAGCATATGGCCAGGTAATCAAGGTCCTATTCTCTTCAGAACTAGCACGCATTTTCAACATATGGGTTTTCTAAGAGAACTATAAACTCAAGTTACAAATTAGGAAGGAACTGATCTTATCCAAACTATAAACATGACATAGTTTCAGTCTTGCAAGTCATATTACCTGCATAAATATTGATACTGTGAGGAGTGGCTTGTCTCCCACCTTTAGACGTCTAGCCTGCAAAATGCTTTTGGTAAACTGGGGAGGTAGAAAATCACTTGTAAGTTTTTAAATAAAGTGTTCAGTTCCTTACCTGAACTAAAACCTCTTGCTTTCCTACAGCTTTTATAAGAATAGAAAAGAGAGATAGATCAACACCACTTGGAAGTAAAGTAGCTTCAGCCAACAGTATAGCAGCTGACATACAGCCAAGGATAACAGCAAGTGCTTTTTGAAGCTGCTTTCTCAGTATACAGCGCCAAATGAACTCTGGAAATGCAACAAAGTATCCTTGAGTCAGCTCCATCAAATGTTAACCACATGTAATAAATTTATGCAAACCACGTAGCCCTAACTCCTTCATGATACTGCAAACCACCGATGTAACTACCATCACACAAAATCTACAAACAATGATATCAAAGACAGAGATCATATTTCTCAAACCTCAATAGTAGTCTTATTATGTAAGATGAGGCAAACATGCCAACCCAATAGAACCATCAGTGCCAACGCTAAAGGGCACAGAAGAACCCCACAGACAATCTGTGCAATATATAACATCTGAGTTATTCAAACATAACTTCAGACGAAAATTCATATGGTGATTGATTTGCTCGTAGCTGAAACATCCTTCCAGGGTACTTACAATAGATGTTCTAGAAGAATCACTGCCTGGTTGTTCATCTTTGGGTAAATGCACAGCACCACCTATAATGAGAACCTGATGTAAACATCAATAACTTTATGCTCAATCTTTGAGAAGCTTTGGTTGCTCAAGAAAATCAAGGATAACACAGTACCATAGAATAGAAGCTTGCAATTACAGCATACAGAACAAAAACTAGGAATATCTTGTAGTTCTCATGCCCAACACAGTTATTAATCCATATACAGTGGTGGTCCTGCACAGGAAAAGTTGTTAAATGCAGATTAGAATTAAAAATACAAAAAAAAGGAGTTGCACATAGCACTAGTCAGTACCATTCTTAGAACACATCTTTTAAACACACGACAATGGTGGGCTCGAGGAGGTTTATAATGGGAACATTTCTAGCAGTATCTCAAGTCACCACCCTGCAATGTTCTGGAGTAAGTTAGCACACAGTCCCCTGTACTAGTCTGATTTAGTCACAAAGACTCCTTTTTAACATTCCTCACAAAATAAAATTACTACACTAGGACCATGGCCCCCCTAGAACTCTAAAAAAACTAGAAAATGCACGTGAATGTGAATGTGAATCTAAAAAGAATGTACTCTTAGTTCTCCTTTCGCGCCCAGATTTTTTTTGCAGAATGGTGTGTAATCAATTCAAGGGCAACTGCAGTACACAAATTCCAGGACCAGAATACAACTTGATGGTATATTAGAGTTAAGTAGCAGGTACGGAGCCCTGATGCTTAGATCTAGACCATAATACCAAAGCTATGCACACGAACAAGAGTAGATTCCCAGTTCCCACTTGGTGTAATTTGGAAACCAGTGTCACTCAATCCGAGTACCGACGATGAGTGGACAGTGCAAGGAGTCAGAGCAAAGATGTTAACGCGCACCTATACACAGTTCCTGGCTCACCAAAAAATCGCAACACCGAGGCGCTCGGCGCGCCAATAGGTATAGGACCATTCCCGTGATCCCGACTAAGAATCCAAATCTCACGCGCGGAACTACGAACTCGCCGGATGCCCGGACCTTGCTTGGAGGCAATGCCTGCTCGAAACGAAGTTTCTGATTCTACACGTATGACTACCATCCCAGTACGTAGATCTAAACTTCACAGCACGCGGCAGGGGCCTCCGCGAGATCTGGAGTGGTCCATGGCCCAGACGGAGACGGAGGGAGGCAGGGGGCGTGAATAGAGTACCTTGCGCTTGATCTCGTGGATGGGGCTCCCGGCGTCCTCGACGTCGGGCATGAAGGACGCCGGCACGCGGCCGGGTCGCGCGATAAGGCGATGGCGTAGGTAGCGACGCAGGCAGCGGCGAGCGCGGTGAAGACCGCTACGTTGGATCTAACAGCACCGACAGCCAAACCGGCGGAGCCCGGGGCCGACGATGGCCGGAACCTGGGGTGGTGGATGAAGAAGTGGGGGAGGGATGCGGCAAGGAACAGGCGAGGGGGGCGCTGCCACGCCGCGCGGGCGGGCGAGGAGCCACGGCCATCCGAGCGAGGGCGAGAGAGAGAGAGAGAGAGAGAGGGGGAGGGGAATGGAAGACTCGAGACGGGGGGAGAGAGAGGAGGAGGGCTGCAGATATTTTTGGGTGGGTAATTTATTCACTGTACGTGGAGTATTTGTAGGGACGGCTCAATCACTAGCCGCCCCTACAAATAGAAACACTGGGGGCGGCTGATGAGTGAGCCGCCCCTACAAATCAGACCCATTTGTAGGGGCGGCTCGTATCACCAGCCGCCCCTGCTGTTCCATTTGTAGGGGCGGCTGGTCTCTGACCTCCCGAGCACGCCACTGTAGGGGCGGCTCCATCACCAGCCGCCTCTACAAAAAATTCGTGCTATTGCTACAAACCTTTTTTCACGTAGTGCCTGCCAGCGTGTCCTTGCCCCAGCGCGGGAGGCGGCTTCCCCGCTGGTGACAGGTGCAATCCTTCCCTGTCCTGACTATGGCCAAGTTCTTCAATGGCAACAAGGAAACAAAGAATATAACATGTTGGTCTCACATGTCATTCTCTACTAGCATTGATTTGGGAGACCAGTTTTAGGTAGTACTGGAGAAGTCCACGAAAAATGAGTAGTATTAAAATAGATGGCTACCCAAACTCAACATCGGCTGAGATCGACCGGCGTATCCTCAAGGAGGCAAGTGTTCAAATATTTAAAGATACACGCCTCGCACGTGTTCTAAAAAACAAGACATCGGTAGCCTGCTTGTAGCTTTCCACCAAATTGATTGACGAAATCTTGAACCTCACTTCTTCTTTTTATTTACATGCAATCATACATGGGATTATACAATTTACAGAGGACGAGCAAGGATAGTTGAAAATATCATAGCATGAATAGGCGCTGTACGTCTTTACTAATATTATTGTAGATATTTTTCTTCTCGAATATGTAGAAGAGTTGCGTATCATTGCATTGTCGATGTGCATCTAGACGCCATATCCTGAATAGAATAATATTCCTTTTCCTTTGTTGCACATACGTGATGCATCTAGAGCTTTCCAAACACATCATCCTGCCAATGATATTTCTTTTGTTGCTTTATGTGATATCTCTATCAGGCCGACTTCAAGATGCTGTACACCATCATCGATTTTCTCAAATATTCCATATATTAGCAAATCTTTCAAACTTGGCCGAATATAATAATCAACCGCGCGTGAGAATATCTATAATAATTCTCTCAAGTCATGACACGTGCACTTTCCTTGATCCTTTTGACTTTTTCCTTATTTCACATGAGGAGATCTTGGACGTCAGGCTTCTCCAAAATTGAATAATATTTCCTAGCCGGCTCCCAAATATCCACTAATTAACAGATTTTCTTGTTTTTGACATCGGCCGATCTCTTCCTCTCTAGGGTAAGCTTACCAAATTTTGGTGTCAACACAGTTCCCCTAGTTCGGAGTATGAATTTTCATGCTTCAAACTATTTCGGTCCGATGGTCTTTCTTCCTGAATCAACGATATCTAATCTGCTTCGGCTCCCAATAAATCATCTTCAAAATTAATACTCCTCTGTATCTTGCAATCGGCTGTCATGAGCAGATACTTTTGATGTCTTCCTTGGATTCCATCTTCTTGAACTCCTGACCGTCCTGCTTTAGCCAATTAGGAGCTAGCCCCCGGGTCTATAATTATATAATCGGCTATCTAGAGGCAATTATCATAAACATCAGCCTCTTCCTTGCTACTGACCATTAAGTATCAGTATGTGACTCAAAGATAATTAAAACTCTTGTCCGCCTTTTTATGCAAAGCTTTCTTGATTGGCTTGTTGCATCGTGAATTCGACATCGGCATCATCGTTACCCATGATTCAATCCATTGGCTAATCACCATATCAATGTTAAGAAAAATATAATCCAATAACTTCTAGCCGACGGTCTTCTTCCAAGGAGCCGAGGATTTTACTGGCAGCAATATTACCTTCTTCCAAGCCTCACCTAAACATGTGAACTTTGAAGTGTCTACCACACCATCTTGGGTGGTTGAAGAATAGAACAGATTAGAATCTAGTCATCTTCGCTTCTCCTGCTCAGAAAACTTAGGTTTTTTTGAAAGATTTTTAAATTAAAACATAGCTTTGCTCCTCAAATGATTCTATCAGATCGCTCAATGTGTATAGTTTCTCTCCAAGGCATTGTTTTGCCTCTTTTCACCCTACTTCTTAAAAGCTTATGTGGAGTTTGGGTAGGGATAAAATGTGTAGCATACTTACCTTTCATATATTGTAAGGTCAAACCCCGGATCCAAGGAGAGAAGTGTCATACTCTTAGATCAAGATATGCATGTGCATGAAATGTTTGGTAGCTAACATAATTCTACTATGCTCTCTGAGACATATTTCTCTCTTGTGGAAAATTTTTGCGAAAACATGGGCTATCTCTATTTTCACCTCTTCTTTTTCTTTTCTTCTTCTTTTTTTTTCTTTTTACTTTGGACCTCTTTTGTGTCCATTTTTATTTTTGCATAACCCATGTCTCTTTTTACAACAAACTTTTGAGAGAAATATCATCAAGAACTTGGAACATTTATTTTGATAGAACCTAACAAACATATTTTTGTCTTCTCCTAGTTTAGGAGCAGAATATTTTGAGGCGGATGTCGTACTTCCAGTGTAGAAGCAGCACATATATGTGGCGTGTACGTGATCTTGATCTTGAGAGCATGACAAATCTCTCAACAAGGGTCAACAAGACTTGACAAAACTCAACACAGAGTCAGCAACTTATGTGGAAGGTTTCTTAATATATGGCCTTCGTAAGAAATTCAATATCATTGAGGAGACAAGCCATTGACTTTGAATTTTTTATAAGAAAATTTCCTAAGTACTTTGCAAAAAGAAACAAGGTTCCTTTCATCATACCATATCTGCAAGCATGTTCGTCCACTCTGAGCCGATGAGTGACTCATCTCCACGAGAAAATATAATTGATGTAGAAGAGGATGCTCTTGGCCCTGTCTCTTAGCGTCACATTCTTGCCGTCATTGTCATCTGTGAGCTCCTTGACCATGCTCCATGGCAGCTTGCTGTGGTCACTACCGGAGACACATTTTCTCCCGTCGGCCCAGCCCACTCCCCTCGGCTGCATCGCCTCCCGTCGAGAGGCACAAAACCATCCCCACGTGACCTGTATACCGTCCGGGAAGGTTTCTCCTGCCGTCCACGGGTGCTCGTCGCCAGCCCATACAGATGATTTTCGCGGGCTACCGCAGCTGTTGGCCCACAGAGAGAGAGAGGAGCAGATCGAAAGCGGGATTCGACAAAAATTCCGATCGCGCGCGCCCAGTCAGCGCCAACAGCCCAGCGTGACCGGCTCCATCCCCAATCTATTTTCCTCGGGTTCCTTTCCGCCAGCCTGCTCACGCCAGATCCAGCTTTTACCAGCGCCCAGATCGCCGCGCCGCCCGCCGCCGCCCGCCACCGCCTCGCCCGCCCGCCGTCGGCCTCCTCCACCACCGAGCGTCGCTGCTTCTCCTATTCCCTAGCCCCGCGCCTAGAAACCCTAAGCGCCGCTGACCACGGCCGTCGTCGGCCACCCGCCGCCATGCTGTCACCACCGGACTCGCCGCCCCCGCCCCTATACCCTAGCCCCGACGCCGTTCCCCACGACGTCCGTGGCTGTGCACGAGGTACCACCAATTCTGTTGTTGCTTGTATGTGTTCGATGGAATTTTCCTTTTTTTACTAAAGCAAATTCGTTCTTGCTTGTATGTGTACGGTGGAAAAGGTGGCTGCCTTCAATCTCACAGATCTGGTATAAGTTGCATCAACAATCCAAGTTCATCCCCTTGCTCTGTGATTCCAGGTACTCACGATAGTTCTGTTATCACCCCAACTGCTTGTGGAGATTTCTTCCTTTTCTTTTTAGGCCTGAAGCAAATTGTGCTGTGCATGTACAGAAGTGGGAGAGGTGAATCATGGCCTGAGAGACATTTTCTTAAGCACCTATTGACGACCTGGAATTTCTGCTAGTGATTGTCCAGTGAAGATCTAGTTGGTTAGTTCATCCTCTCAGATTTTTATCGATTCATGCTATACAGTATTTCTTCTTTGGTTTTGTCGGACATACATAAGTTGTAAATTTGTAACAGGTAAGTTGACTCGAGGCTATTGCTGTTGCCATTTCGCTTCTGGCTACACTGGGAGTTACCATTTAGTGGTAAGCGCTTTCTTTCAATGAACCTTAATCTCAATAGTACTATAACTTATCTGAATTTTTTGGCATTGTTAAAACATTTGGAGTGTAGTTTTCGTTTCAGTATACTATCCTATGTTCATGTCTGCTACTTTCTTACTGGCACGGTAATAGAATTGTATTGTCATTTAATCTGATTGATTCCGTCCTTTGTATTGTGGTTGTGATATGACTTGTGACCGGATTTTGCTCTATTTATTATATCTCTGGTTTGCTTGAAATGGTTGGTTAGTTCTTCGCTCCTTAATTCCATTGTCATTCTCTATAGCCATCTCTTAAAATGGGTTAAATCATGTTGTTGATTCTGCACTGTATTAGTATTTAAAAAACTGACTTTTTTTGTACATTTCTTGTTTAGCAATGACTGATATTTTCATTCGATGTTTAACAGTGTCTCATCGCTGATCTCATTGGTTGTTCTTGTTGCCATTCCACAACTGCTTCCAGAATTGTATGCACGTAATTTGATTTGCAGCTGGTTAGTAGTTCTAAACTTCTCATAAGTTTGCGATAAGATATGGCGAGATCGTGGTGG